AAATTAAAATATTGAAAAAAAATAAAAATTTTTTTTCTTATTAAAATATTTTTGGGGTTTTATCTTCCTCGACAGCACTTTATACATACCCCATTCATATCTTTAATGCACACGCGCGTGTGTGTTTTGTGTGTGTATGTTCTTTTAGCGGCTTGATTAACTAACTTCAACCTCTTTCAATTTACCATCTTATTGTCTGTATTACCTTTTGGTTTCATTAAAATGCTTGTTTTAATTGTCTCCAAATATCAGAGGTTCTTAAAAAACTGTTACTGACCTCAAAGCCTTGCTATTCATTTATTTAATATTTTATTTTTATCCTCAGTTAATTAACCATGATGTTTACTGAATAATTGACAACATTTATCTTTTGATTGATAGTTCTATTCGCTTACTTGACTTCATTTACCTAAGTTTTTACGATTTCTTTACTAGTAAAATAATATTTTGGTAAAAACTTTTGAAGGAAATAAATGAAAAGAATTTCTTCCTCATCACCTATCAATGTTTCCAAATTTACCAATTTTGACAGATTTTCTGAATAATGTCTTCATTTATTTTCCTGTAATTTTTATTTGTTATGGTTGGCTTCGTGGCCTAATTGGCAAAGCAGGTGTCACATCAAAACAGATTTCTAGAGAAAAAATATATGCGTGATTTTTAAGTAAGGGGCTTCATTGTGATGTAATAGGCAACAAGCCGAACTTTTAGATCATTATCAGTGAGTTCGATTCTCTTTGAGTGCTCAAAATTGTGGCATTGTTCCAAAACTATGCTACGTTTAGTAAATAACAACTTATATATATATTTCTTTCTTTTTGCAATCTCATCAACTCGTTTCTCTTTATCTATTTTAATAATCATAACTGCTCCTTCTGTTACGATTTTTGAACTGTCCATTGTCATACTCTCTTTGAGTGATAGTGATGATTGTCATCATTTTTAATCATAAAATACCAAATTTTGGAGATTTGGAATCCTATTTACCTGTTCTTGTCTTTATTAATGCAGTTTTATCATATTCAAGATTATTATTATTATTATTATTATTATTATTATTATTATTATTATTATTATTATTATTATTAATGGTAATAATAATAATTATAATTTTTTAAAAATGTGCGTTCTTATTGACATGGCAATCACTGCAGATTGTGATATATCTAATGTATAAAAATGTGACACATGAGGACATCTATAATTCCGGTTGGAGTTGGAGACCTCGGATTTATTAGAAAAAAGATTCCGATAGACTCATTGACCTGAAGAAATACAATAAATTGTAATCTCAAGTACAGTTTACACATTCCGAAGAGCTTTATCTATGTAAAATGTGTGATCATCTTTTTTTTTTTTTTACAAAAATGATCAGTGAAAAATGTCATGAAGCCATTTCTGACCTTAGGTCTCTAGTTGGGACCCTGAAGGAAATGTGTATACAATAGAAATCAAAGGAAATAATAATAATAATAATGATAATAATAATAATAATAATGATGATGATGATGATAATATTAATAATGTTAATAATAATAATAATAATAATAACAACAACCATTTTGATGTTGTATCAAGCATGTCACTCATGTCTTCTGATCTTAATTTATTGGCGGTGTTAATATTTTGTCATGGTGAATTAAGGTGGGATTCAATAAATATCCCATCCGGTGTCACAAATTGGCTTGTCATTTCCCTGATCTTAACCAATTGGGTATATCCCCTGGGGACAGACGTACACTACATCTCTGTTCATGACCGGGAGTAGAGGGGGCGCATTATGACTGGTTGTTTTTTTTTTTCTTTCTTTCAAATTTGACATCGAAAACAACTTGAAAGTCACATCGAGATATACTGGGGAACACCCTCAATCGGAAATCGTCTGAGCGGGCTGCATTACTCGACCCTGAATGTATTTATGACTGGGCCCCACCTGCTGATTTATGCACGACTTTTATCAAAACCTGTCACCATATCGCACACATTTGACTAGGATACATGCGCCCTGTATACCCTTCAGACAGGATATCATAAGGGGTTTATTGGGTGGGATTCGTATATTTGTACACCACCGTCAATCTCTCTCTCTCTCTCTCTCTCTCTCTCTCTCTCTCAACAAGAAAAGGGATCTAAAAAAGTAAAACCCAGATTAAAGCCATTACTAAAATTGGCGAGACTATTGCGAATAATAATACTAGTGTAGTGGTTTGGTTTAGTTTGTTTTCTCTAACGGCATATCAACTCCTTATGGGTCATTTAATGCCAATATTTCATTTTTTGTGTGCTTTAGGAATTTTCTTTTTCCAAAAATGTATTGCTGGTAATTTAAAAAAAATAATAATAAACATTGTTGGTAATTTTTAATTTTTTTTTCTATTTTTTAACTATGAAAATATATTGCGGGTAATTTTTTCTGATGTGTTTTTATATTTTCATGTTTTGAGCGCAGTTTGGGGTTTCACTATTTGCCATAACAGGTGTTACCACAATGAAAAAGGAGAACCTGGGAACAACAGCAATTAAGAGGTTGTTCCATGTTCCTCAAAAACCTCCCATTCAGATGCCTCGCCGCGAGATGTAGTTCATCCAAGACAACTGGTGTAGTGTGGAGACTTGCTATCACTTGATCTCCAATAGAAGATCCAACATTTACTAATTTTGTGAAAATTCTATAAGTATCTTTCTTTTTTTTTAATTGGCATCACTCCATGAAAGGCAATAAAGCCACTAAGACACAAGGGATTACAGGGTGTGGAAGAATTAGGAACAGAAACATTAATAATGAGCAGGAAGAGAAAAGAGTAATAATCAGGAGGACAGTAGATAGCATTTAATTTTATGCAGATTAATGTTGGCCGGAAAGGATGGAGCCAGGAAAGTGTTCCACAAATTAGAAGTGCGAGAAAAGTAACTGTTAGCATAGAATTTACAGTTACATCTACCCAGCTCAACTGTAAATTGATGAGATCTCGACACCAGACTAGTACTGGACTTAAATTCAAAAAGTCTAGGTACCACAGCTAAGAGCTCATTCGAACAATTACCATGAAAGTATTTATAGAAAAGACACAGAGAGGCGGTGTGAAAATGACTGAAGCTGAGCTGCCAGATCAGGATTAATAATATTGCTGATTCTTCTTTGGATTTTATTAAGGAGCTCCAGGTAAGTAACAAGGGCGCCGAACCATATATGGCAGCAATATTCCAAGCATGGACGGGTGGTAGACTTATAGATATTTAATACTAATTTAGTCATTGCTATTATCACGCTTATTATTACTTATGATTTTTACTTATTATGCACTTTAGTTAAATATTTTTCCCTAATAATTAAACTATTTTCTTCATTCATCTCGTTAGGGACAGCAGTGAATCGTTTATCCTACTATAGACGTGTGCATCATTCGGACAATAAGTCACGGTCAAGTTTTTCTTTTTTTTTTTTTTTTTTTTCGCAGTTTAGAAATAAATCTCATGTTTTACTGGAGGATATTTAGAAAATAAATTCCTCGTTTGAAATAAACTCGAGAACATCTACATCTTAGAAGTATAACTGCAATGGACAAGAAATGTTGCCAAGCTGGAAAAATTAAATTCTTGAGATTATGAGTAAATTACTGTTACAACGACAACTAAAGCAGAAGGAAAATAAATTGTCTTTCGTGTATTCCTGTCTAGAGTTCAAATCCTATCAAGGGATAGTTTTAAAAAAAATGAAAATAAAGAAAAATGATTTTAATAACATAACTCTGATTATTTTAAAAATCCTCGTATTTTACTTAGATTAATTATTTTCCGAATTATTCAGAATATCTTCATCTATGTTGATTTTATTAACAAACATGAAGATATATACTTACTTAGACCTTCTTCCTGTATCTGTCATATCTATTTGTTAGTCCATGAATACGGTAAGCTTACTTTCTTAAAAAACGTACTATTCACGTCAGACGATTATAATCAACGTACACTAGAATAAGGCCAAAGAATATATCGGCCGATTGTATTAAAAGCAACAAAGATGAGGCTATTGGTGTGAATGATTTCTAAAGTAATGAAAATGTTTTATCTGAAAACTTTAACCTTGCTATAATTGCTTGAGTCGGATTGAATTTAAGATGGTTGCAACAAGAAATGCTAGCTAAGAATTGAACCTTTACAGGCGACGTCGTTAACTACAATTACAACAATAAAACAGCGATAACGCATTTTGGACTAAAAAGTGATTAGTGACGAAATAATTATACTTGTAATAACTATGGTTGTAGGAGAAAAATATTTCAATAAAGAAATCTTCATAGAAAGCCGTAAAAAAAGGTTTCATTATGATTTTACTACTTTATCAAAATTCCAACCTCGGTGATAAGTAGGAAAAAGTAGATC